CCAGCGGGGATCGGCTGGGGGCACGGAGGTGGGCATCAGGCGCAGGGCACCAGGTCAGCAGGGCCACATTGCTCTCCACCACACTCATCTCAGCTGCCACTGGCGCACTCGGGGGCTCACGTTTCACACCTGAAAGTCACAGCCTGTGTTGCCTGCCTGGGGACAGCAGCAAGGCTCCGGGTGGGGTGTCAGAAGGGCTGAGTGGGGCTACACAGCCTGTTTCTCTGGGGATCTCTCTCTGATGGAGGGGATGGAGAGGATGGTCTTGCTCCCATGTGGCATGGTGCTTGTTATAGGAGTTTGTGAGTGCCCTGGAGGGTTTGGGGCTTAGACCCCTGCTAAAAGACCATTTCCCCAAAAAGCCATCACAGCATCATGTCCCCAGCATAGTGGGTGCCCATACCCGCCTCTCCTCCATGTCAACCCCTTTCATGAATGGGCAGGATGGAGGACGTGAGATGAGATGTTATGAAATGTAATGCGTTGAGATGACATGAGCTGAGATGACGGCTGTGACTCCCCGGCAGTGAAGGAGATGATGCCCGCATCCTGGCGGGTGACGTGCACCAGCACCAGGAGGTGTGTCCTGCCAAAGCTCTTCAGCACGGTGCGGGGGGACTCCCGTAGCTGCAGCCCATCCTGGCTCCAGCAGGTCCCCTCCACCGCCTCCCGTGTCTCCACACAGAAAACCGCATTCTCCCCCTCCATCACGTCCAACTTCCGTGGCAGCCTCTTCAGGATCACCCCTATGGGAAGAGATGCATGGGGGCTTGGGGAGGGATTCCAGGGGGCGTGATGGGCTCCCCAGAGTGGGACAGAGGTGGAGGTTGAGGAGCAGCAGCAGCAGGCACCATGGCTAAATGGTGGAAGGCAGATGCAGGGGACAGTGGGGATCCTGCCAAGGAAGACAAAGTCATGCCACCAGCAAGCTGACCCCCACCTCGGACAGAGACCTCAGCAATGCTGCGCCCCTTGTCCTTCATCTGGCAGAGGTAGATGCCATCGTCATCAGTGCAGGCATCACGGATGGTCAGGCGCCGCACCACGCCTCGCTCCTCCATCACATACTTGTGGCTGGGCTGCAGCTCCCTGTCCTCCAGGTACCAGGCAGTGGGGGTGGTCTCCAGTGGCACCTGGCACTCCAGCACAGCGTCCTCCCGCTCCGCCACCTCCACATCCGCCAGCTGTACTTGGAACCGCAGCCTGTGCTCTGCCACCAGGAG